TCCAGTTCAGAAACCGAGTAAGGAGGTGCGGCTACTGATGAGAAGCCTCCTTAAAGTTTATTTGGGTTAGAAACGACATCTGGGTCCCTACCCTCGCACAAGATTATTCTCAATTTTCTTGTTGTGTTCCACAACTATACTTCTGTATACTTCAGTGATTGGGCTGATGACTCCAGTGAAAGGGCTGGTGACTCTAGTGAAAGTGCTGGTGACGATGAGAAAGACCATAAACCAGGGATTCCTTCGGGAGCATGTAAGATTATATCCAAAGTTTGTTCGCCAATGGGGTGTGTCTGGGTGTCAAAGATCTTCAAGGTGGGTGCTACTTGTGATGAACTCTAGAAGGATGGGGTGGTAATACTCGGTCTGGCCGTCTGGAAGCCCATAGAATTCCAGTTCAGAAACCGAGTAAGGAGGTGCGGCTACTGATGAGAAGCCTCCTTAAAGTTTATTTGGGTTAGAAACGACATCTGGGTCCCTACCCTCGCACAAGATTATTCTCAATTTTCTTGTTGTGTTCCACAACTATACTTCTGTATACTTCAGTGATTGGGCTGATGACTCCAGTGAAAGGGCTGGTGACTCTAGTGAAAGTGCTGGTGACGATGAGAAAGACCATAAACCAGGGATTCCTTCGGGAGCATGTAAGATTATATCCAAAGTTTGTTCGCCAATGGGGTGTGTCTGGGTGTCAAAGATCTTCAAGGTGGGTGCTACTTGTGATGAACTCTAGAAGGATGGGGTGGTAATACTCGGTCTGGCCGTCTGGAAGCCCATAGAATTCCAGTTCAGAAACCGAGTAAGGTGGTGCGGCTACCGATGAGAAGCCTCCTTAAATTTTATTTGGGTTAGAAACGACATCTGGGTCCCTACCCTCGCACAAGATTATTCTCAATTTTCTTGTTGTGTTCCACAACTAAAACTTCTGACTCTTAATGATTTGGACAAATGAGGAATAAATACATGGAGACATAATACATATGTAGTTGATGCCATGAGAAGGGAGCCAATCACAAGATCGCGGACAGCCAATCGATGATGCGTTGACATACGTTGCATGCCACTTTTCGCGCGTGATATTTGGATACGAAACATGTATCAAATTTGACCAAAACCCATAATCATGGGTAGAGTGTACCGCTGCCAGTGTCTCTCTTTTCCAAACAAAAGGAAATGATATTAATTTGAGGAACCGTCCGCTAATGCAAATTGATACCGAGAATGAAATCGGTCGCTCGCTTTTCCCATTCATTCACGGCTTACGAATTGTAATAAAGCTTATTAAATGGGAAAAGCGAGCGACCGATTTCATTCTCGGTATCAATTTGCATTAGCGGACGGTTCCTCAAATTAATATCATTTCCTTTTGTTTGGAAAAGAGAGACACTGGCAGCGGTACACTCTACCCATGATTATGGGTTTTGGTCAAATATCATCTCTTTTTGATTATAATGTCAGGATAATTTACACAATCGAAACTTCATTAACAAGGAGGTAATTCCGACGATTTCGAAATTCTGCCTTTGAAAACGTTTCCTTGTGTTTAGTTAGGTATATCTGTCGATAACCGACTGAATATGGCACTTTTTACTCATTCAAGTTGGCATTAAATTCATATATAATGCCATTTAAATATCGTGGAAAGCAGAATATATTCGAAATCACGAATGAGCAAAATTCTCACCTTTCGCACGTGCAAACTTTGAGCGGACGTTGCGTGCGCATACAATATTGAATCACCGTAAATTTTTGCATAGTGGTATTTAATATATAGTTTGATAAGCATGCAAAGTTTCAGAAGATTTCAAAAAGAACTTGGATCACAACGGGACTCCAAAGTTGATAAAAATCGTGAAAATCAAAATTTTTAGTGATTTTAGCTATTTTAAATAAATTTGGGCGTGTCCCCACGTGTGCAACTTTTCGATTTTTAACTTTAAAACTAGCCTATAACACAATTTACACCTTTAAGAAGCAAAATTGAGCTCCACAACCCAAGGGATGACCCAACACCAGAGAATACTAATTCACAACTTTTGTGTTTTTATAAAATTATTCTTCAAAAAAGCACTAACTTCAATAGCAAATATCTTTATGAAGGAGCAAGGTAGGAAACTATTCCGGTAGATTTTCGGAATGCTTGAACAATTATCTAAGGTAAAAATGTCCTCAGATTTTGAATAAAATTACTCCTTAATAGCGTAAAATCGATTTGAAAAGTTGTTACTTTGTCAAAAATCAAGTTTTTAAAACACTTAATTTGATGACGTCATCAAGTGATGATGATGACGTTAAATTATTTTTCAATACAATGTAAACTAAAGCTTAAACGATTATCTTTAAAACCTGTGGTTCGAGATGACTGTATCGTTTATACTTTCGAATCTACGGACACTTAAATGTAGGCTACAATTGACTGCAAAAAGCGTCTATATTATATAATATATATATATCTTCACGACAATCTGTTGTAAAACAGGGGTTCCAGAAAACCCACTTCACGATACTCCTGAAACATGAGATTTTTTTTACAGTCGATTTGGACAAGGTCTAGACGCCCTGCAAAGTTTCAGATCTCTAACTCAATTTTAACATGGTTTTTAAGGCACCTGAATATGGCGATTTTGGGTTTTTTACCTAATTTCGTATAACATGCTGGCGCGTATTTTGCGCAAATTTCTTAAAAACCTCCATATAACTATTTCTTATTCCTGTCATCTTTAACATTGAATTAGAATGTTTTGAACTTAAATGTACCTGCTGATCTACTTTCGATGAGTCTTAATGCCTGGAAATCAATAAAGGGGATATAATAGTATAGGGGGTAAATAGTATTGTGAATATAAGGGCGACGGTAATGCTTGCCAGCATTGTGATGATGCGCGTTCCCTATCACGGTGGGACACGTAGGTTAGAAAATACTACAGTAGAGTTTGAGAAGCAAACACTTCGTTTCTGTGTAACAATTTCTCTCGCAGTCTTCTGCTTTCCTAGACTTCTTCGTTTGGTCTTATTTTTAATAAGCGTGTCGCTAACCTTGTGTTCACAACACCATTTACTTAACTTTGTGAATAATCTTATAAAAAATTGTAGATTCTTAGCAATGGTTGCCAATCACGATGGAAGAGTTTCAGTTTATATGGCAAAAATCCGTCTTGTGTGCAATACCACCAAGTGTGTTGTGTATCTTTTACCAATCAACATTTTTATTGTCATAAAAGAAGCATGTCTAACAGCGAAAAATGGCGTGTTAGGAATCTATCACGGAATACTGTTAACAAAGTGTGTAGCTCAGGCCGCGGCACGAAGCCTAGCGATTATGAAAGATTACATGGTCTGGAGTTTCATTAAGCACGCTCCATCCTTATATAGTAACATCAAGGAGATCCTACACCATGCAAGGGAATCAAAGGTGTGCCTAAAAAATATGGTTGGTTATGGTAAACGTACTATAAAAGGATGCGGAAAGGTTGCTAGAAATGTTAGGGATGTACAAAGCTACATACTTCAGTTATTCAGCAAAGATCAACAGCACGCTATTGGAGGTCGGAATAACAACCACCGAGGAAATAGAAGTCAGCCTACTCGTAGTCAACCTAACCATTCTGGGCATTTTGGGCAGTCGAGCAGTTCGACTAAGCAGCTGAACCAGAATGTTCGGAGTCAGCCAAGTCAAACTGGTAAAAACAGACGAAGAAATGATCGGGGCCGGAATAACAACAGAGTGAACAACCAGAGACATGTCAAGATGAACACTTCCACTTGCGTGATATGTTGATAAAATGATATCTTCATAATCACGGTGGTCTGTAAGCGGGAGCTCAAGGACACTCAAGGACACAGTACTATAGAAATTTGACAGCAAAAACTATTATGATTCATGGACACAAATTTTGCAAGGACACACGTTTATTTTTAACAAAAAGCAAATATATTAGCGGTAGTTTCAGAGTCAGCCGCTGAAACCTCGATCAAGGACTGCAGGAGTAATGACTAAAGATTGCAGTTTATTTAGATTTTAGAATTAATTTATCGAAATGAATATCACTGTTTTTCTGTATTTTTGTTTAATATTCTGGTTTATTAGTTGTTTTTATATTCGTTAGTGTGTGTCACAAAAATGAAAGGTTGTCACATTTACGCAAATAGTACTACAACTCCTATTTAGAATTTCTGACTCTGAGTGCAGTGGACAAACGAGATTACTGAATCCACATGGCAATACACCTGAAGTTTATGTTATAAGAGGAGAGCCATCATGAACTTTTGGGCAGCCATCATGCCAGCCAAGCGATGGAGGAGTAAGGAAGTTCAGGTTACATATCATTAAGGGACACGTAGGAGGGACACGTAGGAGGGACACGTAGGAGGGACACGTAGGAGGGACACGTAGGTTACTGTAAGCAGAGTTTAAATCAGATTAGAATATTGTATCTCTGTCACTGTCGCCATAAATATTATTGTTTTTGTTTATTATTGTTTGTTGGGAATTCTACTGATGACGAAATTGTGAATTTCAAATCCACTTTTCATCTCCTCATTGAATTTTAGAGGAATCAAACAGGTTATGCATAATGGTCTCTATGGCAACTGTCCTCATCTCAATATTCACAATTACAATGTTTTCGAATGACTTGTGGCTGCTTGGAGGACATGTCATAGTGGCAGCAGAACACATTAAAAAGGCGGCATCTCATACCCTTATGGCAAAAGAGTCGTTTCAAAATATGTATAACGATCGGCAGCTAGAAATTCCAGAAAAAGGTGGTCAAGCACTCAAAGAAAGCAATTTTGCGAGCTCAAACGATTTGGGAAAAGGCTCAGATTTGGACGAAAAAATGTTAAATATTATGTATTACTAACTGATGAACACTGAGGGTAAGAACAAATGAAAACTAATGACCTCAGGAAACGCTCCGCATCAGAATCAGAGCTGCAGGTCGAAATTAAAGTGATTTGAATCAATACATTACTAATAAAAACTAGCAATGTTAACTAACTTTTTAAAGAAGGGATATCTCCAGGAGTCAGTAGGATGTAGGATATCAGACTCCATGATACCGTAGCTAGTGTGAGTAATGTTGAACGCTGATGTCATGTCTAGTACTGATCTCATCTGGTTGTTGGCTCCTGGTCCTATAAAACCTGAGAGTGGGTTATGTGATTGTGGAGGAGTGTATGAAGCTGTTTTACAAAATCTTAATCGGGTATTTGAGTTAAACTTCAGAGCTCTTAAAATAGAAATATGAAAAGTACTGCCTACATAAACTCTTAAATCTGAACGAGTTATAAACCGTAAGGTAGAGTAGAACAGTTGCTGACAGGACTGAATATCTTCTTCATAACCCCCCTGGACCCAGTCACTGTGCTGCTACAAGAGTCTACTACTTCTGCTCTTATCCGTACCGGTGATCCTGATTTTCTGGGAGGAGGTGAAACAGAATTAACCCTTAGAGACAGACACGAGTAGATGTTTTTAGAATCATTTAAAGTAGTTCTTCTAAAATAGATTTCTTGTTTAAATGCGATATCAATTATGATTTCAGAAATAAACTGAATCTAACAGCAGAAAGAAAATGTCAACATCTTACGAGTAGTTGATGTTGAGCTCGTCTACATAACTTCTAAAGTGAGACTGAAACAAGGTCCCGAATGTTCTAGAAGTAGTACAGTCGTGTCGACTGACGTCAAACACTCCAACTAACACTCTCTGACAAAAATATTGTTGTTTTTACTTTTGATACATTAACAGACAATTGATGCATCATATTTGCCTTTTCTTGCTCCAAATCCAGATTTAAAGTTTCATATTGGTTACAAGGTTTAGCGTCAAATATTTCAGTGCAGTTCTTTTTTGTGACTTCAACACTAAACATACTACATAACGATATACTTTAAACAACAAGCTATTGGCACAAAACACAAAAGTGAAGGTTGGTTGGTACTTTACGCAAAAATTCACCTCAATGCGTTGATTATCGTTACCATGGTTACCATCAGTGAACCCCATTCCCAGAACCAGGCAGATAACGAAGAATGAAACGAGGTGTGAATACATGTTGTTGTCAAATTAAAAGTACTACAAGTACACAGCCAGTATCGAGAACCGAAAACGCTAAGGGGAGTTCTGGAGTTAGATTGTTAATGTTAGTGCCTGTGTCTATTAGAGCATAAGGTTATAAGAACATGCGATTATATTGTGGCATTAGCCAGGAATTTAACAACTTGTACCACAAGTTCGGTGTTCTGGAGTCTGGAGAATAGTTATAGAATATTAGAGAAGATAGTGAGGAATGAGGTAGAATGAGGAAGAAACAAGGTATAAGAAGAACGTGTAGTTGGTAAATTAGCACTACAAGTACAAATACACCATGCCTTGACAACGCTAGTGGGAGTTTGCAGTTAAAGACATAGCGGGAATTCTGCAGTAAGATTGTTTACCAAATAACAAATTTGTTGTGCAGTTATATACTGTTAGTACCAAGGTTAAACCCCTACTACAAGCTGTACAATAACCCCTACTAGCCTGCAGTCTGCACTTATACTGTCGGAGATGGGTATTCAAATTGATTATACCGACTGAGTTAGTGTCTTTTAGAATACTAAAGGTTAATATGTGCGTGAGATTACAGATCTCTTAGTCTTGTTGGATAGGTGAACCATTATATTGGCTTGGAGTTTGGACACGTGATAGGTATTCTGGTTCTGAATGCTCATTGCTAAAGCTGATTGGATAATAATCGCGGTCACGTGCCAGGAAAGTATAAATGACCTCCACACTGTCGGGGAAGGGTATTCAAATTAATTATACCGACTGTGTTCGTGTTTATTACTTACTGGGCGGCGCTCAGCATGTCAAATCTCTATTCGATTATTATGTTTATGAGCATAATAACCTGGGGTCCCCAGGTAAGTCTATTATACTATTAGAACACTGCAGTAAATATGTCTCTTGACTTCTTGATGGGGAGGTGAACCATTATATTGGCTTTAACACGTGATAGGTATTGTGGTATTTGATTTTGATTGGTTAATAATCACGTGCCAGGAAATATAACTGACCTCCATACCAGTAATCAGTATCCAGATCTATTGGTGTCGAATTTGGCAATTTGTTAATTCATTCTGCCAAAATCGAAGCTTTTCTCGGGAAACCTTGAGCAAGTAGAAATTATCAGAGCTGAAATTTGACAAACCATACCAGAACTGTAAAACACACATAAAATGTCGACCGGCTTATATTCTAAGCATACAAATGATCAAGTGCGATAATTAACACCGAGCAAATAATACTGTAAGGATACGTTAACGCTCTAATAGTAATACACTACAGATTCATACTGTGGATAACGGTGGCTTGCGTTGTCCACAATATAACCATCCAAATTATCGCCAATATGGTAAAGTTAAACGAGCGAAGTTAACTTGTTTTACAGTTACCTATATACTAATTAACTAGGATTTTGTCTGTTATACTAAAATTATATTTGGTAAAATTTAATCTGTGATTGAGGTGAAGCTATTTTAGTATTTACTGGTACTCTACCAAAGGTACTCACTCGCAAAGACCTCTGTTATAGCTGCCTCAAAAACAGGAAGTTAAATTGGATAAATCGTTGAGTCGTCGCGTTACACTGTTACTAATCGCAAACTTCAGGAAGATGGTGAAATTGTTCAAATGAGATGAAATTAACTATGGATTATATTTATATGCAACCCAATTGAGGTACTGAAAGTTATAGATTCCTGCCGAAGAAAGCACCACAGAAGGGAAAATAATATTGTCCGTTTTTTGTCCCATTTTTAAAGATTAAGTTTAACGATGAAATTTACTGGACTCGAATTTCACAGTTTTACTGAATTTTTGTCCAGTAACCAATAAATTAGTTAACTATAAAGGATGGCATTTAACACAATTGAGGTAAAATTGAGGTACTGGAAGTTTGATTATGACAGTGGAGAGTATCACAAAGAAAGCATTACAAAATGAAAAATTTACATTGTCGAAATTCTGTCTCATTTTAAAATATGATATTTTCTGTGTCTAAGGAGGATCTTGAACCTAAGGAGGATCTTGAACCTGACCGCCCTTCTCTTGTTCATCGATTTTAAGAAGGCCTTTGATAGCATTCATAGGGGTATATTGATGAAGATACTCCTGGCATATGGGATACCAGAGCCCATTGTTAGGCTGATAGATGCTATGTACAAGGACACCATGGCACGAGTCATCACGGAGGATGGTCTGACTGAAGCTTTCCTTATACTTGCTGGAGTTATGCAGGGAGATACACTGGCGCCCTACCTCTTCGTGATTGTCATTGACTATGTGATGACAACAGCACTTAGAGGCAAAGATCTGGGCTTCACTGTCAACCCCAGAAGAAGCAGGAGATACCCAGCAGTTAAGATGACAGATGTCGACTTTGCTGACGATCTTGCACTGACAACAGACACCGCAGAGCAAGCGCAAGATCTTCTCCTCAGTGTGGAGCTGGCTGCTAACTCCGTTGGACTGCACCTCAACGAGAGTAAGACGAAGTACATCAGAGTCAATCTCTCTGAGTCTGACTCTACCGTCATTAAAGCAGCAAGTGGGCAGGAGATAGAGCAAGTAGATGACTTTGTCTACCTTGGAAGCAGAATAATGAGTGCGGAGAAGGACTTTGATGTTAGGAAAGCAAAGGCATGGGGGGCCTGTCATCAGTTAAAGACAACCTGGAAATCTGGAATGCGCAGGGACTTAAAGATCCGTGTCTTTCGAGCAACGGTTGAGCCCGTACTCCTGTACGGCTCTGAAGCTTGGCCGATAAGCCAATCCATGACTAAGCGGATCAATGGATGCTACACTAGAATGCTCCGGATGGCCTTGAACATACGTTGGCCACAAATCATCAACAACAGTGATTTATACGGCAACATCCCCAAGCCATCAGCAATGATAGCCTCCAGAAGAATGAGACTGGCTGGACATGTAGCCAGGCATGACGACCTTCTGGCAAACCAACTTCTGTTCTGGGACCCTCAGCATGGATACAGGAGACCGGGGAGGCCCCACCTTACGTTTCTGGACATGCTAAAGAAGGACACCAGCCTTTCCTGTGTTGAAGAGATAAGATCTGTTATGCTTGACCGCGACGTGTGGCGAGGAATTGTAGTTGCTCGGACCAAGAAGCCGACTTAAGTCAGTCAGTCAGTCATATTTTCTGAACCGAAAATACAAAACTATTGAAAATTAAAAATTTTAAAACTTGATTTTTAAGAGCAGCAAAGAGAAAAATTAAACCATGTTTTTAGCGATGGGACTGAGAGATCAGTGTTTGCTCTCCACCACACACTGCCGGCTGCACACCATTAATAAGGGACCATGAACAAGAGTGGGAGTGGAGTTATGATCAGAACAATGCAGACCGTGACCGATACCTCTAAAAGCTATAATAACTAATCAGGATTCAGGGCTGGGGCTCGATCAGAATTACTTTTGTCAGGTACTGATAATTGTGTGACGAAGACTGAGAGTATTGCCATGGCGTGACAGTAATATTAATGGTAATGGTTCGTGTTACAACTATAAGGTGCTTAATGGGGCACAATTAGTCTCAACTCTAATAATGACAAAACTGATATTGAAACCAAGTTATGAAGGCTGTCATGATAGTGTTATTATTGTTATGACGTGATTAAAGGTAATGAAGGGTTATACTTATACGTCTCGTAACACAAAGGAGACTTATTAAATGGTGGCTATGTTGCTCAACTCTGATCAAACGATTAAACTCTGATCAAACGATTAAACGGATATTGGATACTGATACTCGCAGTCATAGCATACTCAACCGAGTGGAGACTCATTTCGTTTTATAAAATATAAGATATGAACCAAAATCAAACGATCAAGATATATACGAGAACTAATAACAGCAAACTGAGAAGCACGTGTGTCACCATAGAACCACATGAAATGTGTTTTAATCGGCTCATATTGAGCGAAGTTACTGAGCATCTCCTAGCTGTTATTACTTTACTGTTATCATTTTACTGGTGCCAGGTGAGCAATTTCTTACAAAGCGGAGAAAACCCAAACTGTAAGTTTTAAGCCTCATGGAGATCAATCGCAATATTGCTTTCGCGCTGATGAATTTAGATTGTGTTTTGGTATAAAGATGTAAATCCTTCTTCATCTTGATTCGATGGTTTTGACTATGCTGATCAGACCTGAAGAACTAGAACTCAGGCCTCGTTGGAACTAAGTACAGTGTTACACGAAAATTGGCGGATCGAGAGAGAGGGTGGAACCTTCCGATAATTGCAATTGGTCGTAGCTTCATACGAACTATGACAACGTCTTAATCACTACTAATCATGCTCATCATTCGCCATCCAAATCAGCAGCATTTTCGTAGTATAGTGAAGTTAACCAGTATTAGTAAGTGTAACTAAACCATATCTTAAGTTTAAGTTTCAACTTTGATTGAAAATTGAGAGAAATAACAAATCACAAAACTGTTAGCCGACAGTGCGTCTACAAGTGGCGCAATACCATGCACAGGTCGACTAATGACGGATTACTTAAACACAAATCACAGCAGCTGTGGAGTTATCAGAAATGGATATAAGACAGGAACCGAGAACACGTGTGAGATAGACCTAGTTTCACCTGCAGTTCACCTGCAGTTCACCTGCAGTTCACCTGCAGTTCACCTGCAGTTTACGTGCAGTTCACCTGCAGTTTACGTGCAGTTCACCTGCAGTTCACCTGCAGTTCACCCTCAGGACTTACAATGCAGACATTAACACCGGATATTACATATTAATATTATTATTATGTGCAATATAGTACTAATATCTATATCATGCAATACTCAATAGCCATTAGCCAATATATGACATAAACGCATATGAAAATATGAAATGTGCCGTCAAATTTGATGTGATAATTGTCATTATTGACGTGATGCACCAATGCACATGCGTCATGCAATTTCATATGCAGTTCACATTATGCCAATAATTAAGTTAAACTTTAACATGAAATTATCACCATAGCGTCAACTTTTTAACAGCATGTAAATAATCGAGTCTAATTCCGCCATCTCAATCAGATACCAAACGTCCAAACAATTCAACTTCAACAGTTCTCCTTCGATTACGACTGTACTACTACGACTACGAGTACTGTAACTGAGCTGAAAAAGCTTTAAGCTAGTCCCACTATTAGAAATATTTCGCCGCTGCATTTCAATAAATATTACATAGTCAAACAAACTAAAGCTGGAACTAAAAATAATCCTTCTCTACCATTAGCAAGGTGTCACTAGGTGCTCTATCCCACAGCTGATAACCAGATACTACTTCAATAATAAAGGTATAACTCACACACCAGTTTAATATCACTTAATAGCTCAACTTCAACATTCAAGTACAATAGTGAATAGTCTGAAAATTCTTCGTTTTCACTAACTACTGCAACTCACAGATATACTCGAGTAAAACAACGTACGGTACACTAGTACTACCACTAACCAACAAAAGTACTACTCTTCTTCGTAATCCAATGTGTCACATAACCAATTACCTGCCGAAATTAGTGCCTCTCCAACTAACCAACACACAGCAATACTAGTAATAGTACTGCCGATAATGCTACCTAAACGTCTGCACCACTACACAGAACACTTGTACTTGCCAGCACAAACAACTAACTTCCCGTTTTATCCGACTGTGAACTGTGAAGTAATATCTGTAACTGTGTAGGCACTAGGCTGTGAGCTGAGAGTGTGTCTGGAAGTTTGGCATTTAATTTGCTGGCTGATTTGTCGGAGGAAGTTGTCTGAAGTTTAAGGTGAAATACTTATTACTATTACTTATTACTATTAGTACGTTTATTGGGATGTGCTGCCATTCCCAGGTATGAGCAACGTTGAAGAAGCTATCGGTGGTTATGTGTAGGAATGTTATGAAGGAAGTGGTAGACAAACACAATAAAATGATACGGAGGCCTTTGTTCATTGTTGGTGTTAGCTGTCGGCTCTGTTGTCGTGCGACTTGTATAAAAGTTCACAAACTATATATTATACACATAATATATATATACACACGATACTATTGTAAAACACGCAATTTTGTTAGTGTGCTTCTCGTGGAGATATCAATCGCTGCTTTAAGTTTAATCGATCTTAACCACTACAAAATAGATAGCAATTACTTCCTCAGACAATGCAACCAGGTCGAGACAGTGATTTATTAATATCTGCAACGTAGTTTCACATTCCAATCTTTCCGCAGAACAATTTTGGTGTTGAAAATGTATCATTTTTTATCGGATTTTGGAGAAAAATGAAACGAAGTATATTAAGAAAATTAATTTTGTTAAAATTTACTATACAATAGCACATAAAGATTAGTGATGTGTATAAGAATGTGCTCACCAAACTGCTCAAGACTTCAGAGTAAATGTGTTATTTACAGGATAATGTCGTGTGTAAATCTGTAACTCTAATGTTATACTCACCATAAACCTTTTACCTCAAAATGTTAATTTAAAACTCTGTCAAAACATCTTACACTATGAATTCTGCTAATCCAGTAAAACTTATGAATATAAACTCTCAACACAATATTATGAAGAATCAATTAAAGGAATGTCATGACAACTATTAAGATCACGTGCAATCTTATTTCTAACCACGTGCAATATTGTTTCTTATATAAACTTCATCCCAACTCAGCTGGTTGTAAAGCAAGCGCTAAAATAAATATGACCCACCAAAATAGCTGTACCGCAACGAACCAGTACAGTTTTAGGGTTACTCCATTATACTCAGAAACGTTTATAAAATTTTGAAGAAATCCTATTCGATTTACAGACTTTAAAGCTATGATATAGACTAATTAATATATAAATCAAACTATTTTCAATTCTCCACTACAAATCGGTCCAGGCACTGCCTAAAACAGCAATGCACTGAAAGTACTTTTGAGTACACTACAATCATATTTAATGTCACGTGTAAGAAAGAGCTACAGTATCTAAATTTCAAAGCATTACGTGCAACATAAGATGCAGCTTAAAGCTGAGATTATGAAGTGCGATATACCCACGTGCAGGGTTGTAAACTCAGTGCGGCACACGCACGTGTATTTGTCTGTTCAAAACTGCGTTATGTTGCACGTTAGACCCTGTACGCGCGTAAATGTTACACAAATGCGTGAGAATATTACACACATTCACGTTACGTAACAAAGTGACATTTGCAAAAAACGTCAAAATATTATAAAATACAAGTAACTGTGAAATATCTTAGTGAATCAAATAAAAATATAACAAAGCACAAATCCGCACTTTTTTCCCTTGATCGCTAAAATTGTCTGAGCAGTAAAACACGACACTATACAATATCAATAAGATCGAGTAAAAAAGTGCGGAAAATTCAAAACTTCTGTCAAATATAAAGCTTGTTACATTAGTCTGGCGAGAGGGGAGGCGACACACCTAGATCTGAACCCGATATTGTCCGCCTCACCCTCTCCTCACACTGTATCTCTATTCTAGGACCTAGTATTCTAACATTTCTTCCAGCTCAATGCTCAGCTCGCGCGCAAGTTTATACCACGTGTCATGACAACTAAATTCCATTGCCACGGTAACAACTATCTCATCTCGAGTTAAATAGGTTAAAGAATAGCGCGACAGTCAGTAATAGCGCATATTGTCCTTGGGAGCAACTGTTTTTAGTGTGAGCTGAGTTCTCTACTGCTTGTGTTATGGCACCACATCGTACAGGGATAGTTGTGTTTACTTCTATACAGTTAGCTTGCATTCCGGCTGATGTCGGTGACTGGGAGGAGAAAGGGGGTAATGATATGTTTTAACGTGAAAAATAATGTCGACAACAAAAGCAGGTAAATGAAAGATCTCCTCCGGGATTTAAAGTGTCCAGTTTTAAGCAGTGAGCAAGAAAGTGAGCTAACCTTGTTGAAGTTCCTGTAAGCACTCCGACAAGATGGAGTACATGGAGCATGCTCAACTATAGTCTCCTCACAGGAGCCTACATATTTGTTGTGTAGTTCCTTGCATACTGAGTTTCGGAAACAGGCGTTCAGTTCTCTGTGACAATCTAAACTCATCGCTGAAACAGAAGGATTGTTAGGAAGGTCGGAAATCAATACGAAAGGTGATATATCTATAAGCGTCCACTTAAAACAGAATGTGTTCAGCCGATGATTGCAGAAAAAAAGAGGATGTAATTTAAAAGATAAAAATAAAAGCAACTCACCCTCTCTAATGCAGCTAAGTTTAACATTCTTGACTCCCACACATTCCTGCTCAATAATCTTCTCTCCGTGAGGCCGCCGGGAGAGGAGTCTCTCGTAGGCCAGCTGACACTCCCGCGTGCACGGAATCATCTTGTCACTGCGCATCTGTGCGTCACACACGTACCTGTAGTTATCCAACTCCTGCGAGATGAGGTGTGTTTAATTGGTGAACTCACTAAGGTTCAGGGGATTTAGCGGATGGTTATTGAATTAAACTATTTAAATGATATGTTTTTCAGATCGCAGACTAAAATCACCCTGACAACACACATTATATACGCTAAGAAGCTGTCGTAATTACCTTTTTGCAGTCGGAGTCCATATTGCAATCCTTAACAGTTATAGTACACTCGGAGAACTCGTAATTATTGTCCTGGTCCTCTTTTTCTTCCTTTTTCTCTTCAGGGTTGTCTTCAGTTGGAGTACCTTCTGTTGGCTCTTTTGGGGCAGGACCTGGTAAAGTGAACTTGTTAGCACATATCGCGATTAACTATTATAAAACGGGTAATAAACTCTGTCCATAATCACAGATACGATCAGCCAAAGCTGAGTGGACGGATATCTGATAACAATAACAGTTTGTATAATAAACTATAATACTTACATCCTGCAGTCTCGGGCAGTTCATCGCTGTTATCCCCACAGTCATCTTCACCGTCACACTTCAGAGAGTTGCTGATGCACCTGTTCAGGGTCTCGCAGTGGAACTGGTCTGCTGTGCACGCATCTGAGGAGGGATTCTGTTAAAAGGAGCTTAGAATGGAAAATATGGAATCAATTTGAGATCTGTTAACCAATAAAACCAGTCTGAATAATAAATATCTCGCGGGATCGTTTGTGGGTTTAGATGGGGGGGGGGGGGGTCCCGTTTAGATCAATAAGTAGATCAACTCACCACAGTTAGCCTCGTCAGTACCATCCCTACAGTCCACTCGGCCGTCACACTTAAACTGTTGTGACAAACACCGGTCTCTGTCACACTTGAACTCGTTCCCTCCGCAAGAATTACAGTTCACTTCGTCTGTGGGAGTTACAGTTAGAACAGTCTTTTACTAAGAGACGAAAACATAAGTACCCTAATTGGTAGGGTTTGTGAACCTGAGATTACTACGGTCTGATAGGCAAGATTCTGGAAACTTCTTCCAGGTATCGACTTGCGATACAAAGAATAAGCCTTCAATTGATAGACGAGTGTACTTATATCTATAGACAACTGTCAATTTTGAGACTACCCTACGTTAGACAACAATAAGACGCAATAAATAATAAACAGTGCATGCTATGACTAATGTATCCACCAAATAACTAACCTGATCCGTCTGTACAGTCCCTGATAGCATCACAACGAGACGGTAAAGGAACACATTGACTCTTGTCAGCACAGCGGAACTGGTTTGAGAGACACTTGTCTGAAAAGAGAGACAAGTGTTAAGCACGGACTACTTACTGTGTTTTTACTATCGGGAGAGTTGTCAAAATTGGCGTTAAATATTTACGAGAGGCGATTAAAAATGAGCTCATGTCTACGATACGAATGTAAATATCAATACCAAAGAAAAATATTGAATTTCTATATTAATGGGAAATGTTTTTCAAGATTCTTACCGCAATCCGTTTCATCCATTCCATCCTCGCAATCCTCAAAGGAGTCGCACCGGAAGGAGATAGGTTTGCACATTCTGTCGCAATAGATCTGGTCCTGTCTGCACATATCTGAAATAAGTGGATGTGTTATTTGACTGGCATTTTGTAACAAGTCCGTTTCTGGACTCTGGTTAATTTCTGCAATTTATTTCACTGTTAATAGTTGGCTGGAGAGTCTGCGGTTCAAGTCTAGAATAGATGGTTTTGGTACCGATTCTATTGACAATACATATTGTTCTCCAACAACGTACCGCTCTTAAATCTTTAAAATCTAAGAAATCTGAATTGAAATTTCTTCCTGCTGATAAGGGCAACGCCACTGTTGTACTGACTCACGATCAATACATAACCAAAGTTACCGACCACTTATCCTCAGGTAGTTACACCCTCTTAACGAAAGACCCCACTCAATCCGTTACCACTAAACTACAGAAAGTCCTCAAGAAACTACACACCGACAAGATGATCACGACCGACCTATACCACAAGATGCGCAACCTACATCCTAGATGGCCTCAACTTTACGGACAACCTAAGATACACAAACCCGGCGCACCTATCCGTCCCGTAGTCAGCTTCTACAACACCCCCCTCCAAGCCCTCCACAAAGTCCTCGCATCTTTCCTCAAACCCCTAGCCCAGAACCCCTTACGCCTCAAAGACTCTTCCGACTTCAAACATCGCTTCGACTCCTCTCTCAATCCCTCCTTCCACTACCACGCCTCCTTAGACGTCCAATCCTTGTACACCTCCTGTGACATGCGCCTAGCCCTCAAAACTGTCATCTCCTCCTTTGAACAGAACCCCTCTCGTCTTCCCTCCAATGTCACCACCACCACCATAGGCTCCCTTATCAACTTTTGCCTTGACAACTCATACCTTGAATTCAACGGCTCCTTCTACTCCCAAGACGAAGGTGGTACAATGGGATCCCCCCTCATTGTTGAACTAGCTGAAATCCGCCTTGCTGAAATCGAGACCTTAGCTTTATCCTCATGTCCTGACCCTCCGAACACTTACTCCCATTTCGTTGACGACGGCCTTGGATCTTTCAGAGACAGAAACCACGCAGAATCCTTCCTTACATTCCTTAACTCCCTTACTGAAGACCTCAACTTTACCCAAGAACATCCCTCTACAGACGGAACTATACCCTTCCTTGACGTTCTCATCCACCCTGACAAATCCACATCAGTCTACAGAAAACCCACCCACACCAACCTCTACACCAAGTACTCCTCCTGCACCACCAACTCATCTAAGAACGCAGTCATCCGATCACTGACCAGAAGAGCCCACAACATCTGCTCACCCCAACACCTTGACGACGAACTCCAGACAGTACGACACGTTTGCCTCCAGAACGGCTTCCCTCCTCACCGCATCACCACCATCATGGACGAAGTACAACGGAAATTCACCAACCCCTCTCGCCACCAATCCCTAGCCTCATTCAACCGACAGACCCGTGAACATGCCCTTAGTGTTTCTCTTCCTTTCCATCCCTCCCTATCCAAACCCATCTCCAAGATACTCGGACAACACGACATCAAAGTCACCCACTCCTCTGCTACCTCCCTCCGCAACCTCCTCACCAAAACGAAGACCACACCCCCTACTCACCTCACTCCCAACACCATCTACGAAATTTCCTGCTCACAGTGCCCCTCCAAATACGCCGGACAGACCTACAGACCCTTGGTCCACCGCATGAAAGAACACGAACGATGTTACAGACTCAACAACGCCATCGACGAATCCACAGACAGAATCAAATCAGCCCCTGCACATCATGCCCTGACCACCGGCCACACCATATCCTGGAACAACATCGAAGTCCTCAAATCCCTCACCTCACGCTCCCAACTTGACCTCACAGAACACGCAGCTATACAAATACGACAACCAGCTATGAACAGAACAGACCGCGCACCCAAATGTAGTTCCCTCTGGGACCCCATTCTTCCTAAAATTGCCAAATCCTTAAAGTCCAGACCATCTGGCATTTCCTTCTCAACCTCAACAGAAGACTAAATTTTTATTGACATTGTACTGTAATTTTCACTTTCCCACCCACACCTCCCCCACCCTCCACCCCTGACACCACTCAATCACATATAAGCATTGTCCACCACATCACATTCAGCTGACGACGATTAACACATGTTTATTGAAAGCTTCTACAAGTTAAATCATCGTATCTCTTATATGTTTTTAACCCAACTCCACTCAGTTTTCTCCAGGTAAGAAATCCAGGTAAAATTAAAATCAGCGACGTATTTATCGTAATTATATTACAGCTAAGTCGGCTCGCTTTGTGGGTGCGTGCATTAAATATTAAAATGTACTGTGCGTGAGCGCGCGCTCTGTCTAGCCGCTAGCAATATGCGCGTGATGAGCGCTGACATGAAAACACAAGGACTTCGCGCGTTACAGTAAGTATGTTACCAAATTTGCTCCATAATGAAGACCGAGTCTCGGAAGAATGAACTAGTTGCAACTACAAATGTTGGTTTTTAATTGAACTTTCATCGAATTTTTCTGTATGGTTAAAACTAAGCAGATGCGTGGCATCCAACCCAGGATTACTCGACGAACTTAGCGCAGATTTTACGGCAGTCAAAAGCGCTGCAAGTAAAACGTGAGCTGCAAGCTCTAAATGATTTATATGCCGAATATGGGCTCTATAACGTCGTTTGTTTTAAAACAATAGTTTTTTATAACTCGTCGGATTGATGGTTGATTTGATTGGCAATGTCATTCAATGGTCACGAGTAACTCCATGGCTACGTTTATCAGTTTGCTTTAGACACTAATTGTTGTTGTATGTTGAACGACCTTTTAAAAACTTAACTTTTCTCCCGTGACCTAGGTTTTTAAAGTGATACAGTGTTTTTTCTGGTCTTTAAGAGTGTTAGGATCATAAAATGTGGGAATGTACATTCCGATGTGAAAAACGAAAATGATGATCATTATATCGATAGATTGTATCATGTCTTAATCTTAGAATTCTACATCACATATTTTAAACAAAATCTATCAGCCATTCAACAAATTAGAGCTTTCTCCTTCGCGGTCCACAACTCTCAACTATTTTGTAAAACGTATCCCACAATTGTCTGTGAGAGCACGTTACCACCGCACAAGCAACTTGTGTTGTTATTTATCAGGTTTGTAACGTGCAAGGTGGTCTCTCTTCTCAGAGGTTCTCTCGCTATTTGTGTGCAACCTGCGCTAATAAACATAGACTGTATCTTTAAATCGGAACACTGTGAAATCCTGAGAGTAGTAATACAGCTGGAAGTGTTAGTTCCTGATGAGAGTAATGGAGGAGCACACAACATAATATTATAAAGGAGCACACAACATGATATAATGGAACTATTTGAGAATAATCTAATAAATAAGTGATCGCCAGGGCACATGTGTTATCTAATAACATCGTGTAATGATTCTCCTCTACCTTCCTCACTAACTCTCCCTTAACTCTGGCTCTCTCTCAGGTAACGTGGTATTACATTCTCAGGTCACGTGGTATTACACTCTCAGGTCACGTGGTATTACATTCTCAGGTATAGAGTGTATGTGACGCAATGTGACGTCATGCTCGGCAGAGGAAATCCGCAGAATTTTCCATCGGTTTCTAAAATGTTAAGAGGTTATGATTTATTCACATTATTGGATGTAATAGGAACCACATAATATGCGAGGGTGTTGAAGAATAAACTTGTGGTTTACTCCGCAGTACTACAGAAGATGACGTCACGAAATCAACCAAGCATGTCTGAGGTGTATTGTACATGAATAGTGGGTAAAGTTTTTCCAGGTCACGGCTACAAAAGTAGGACTACCAACAATAGGACCACAGATCACGTGAACAATACAAACAGGATATCAACAGGCAATAAACCCGACCCCTGTAACCTAGCAACCAACCCCGACATGCTGTCTTGTCACGTGTTAAAGTGGGCTAGCCAATCAGCTAATAGCACGGACCAAAGACAGGAGCGTTACCATGACAACATAGCACTTCCTGTGCTCGAGTCACATTTGACCAATCAGACTCAGGTACTAAAACCACGTGACAAAACCCGACCAATGAGACAGTGTAAAAAAATCGGGTAGTCCACCCAATAGAAGAAACTTCCTTGCTTCAAGCAGACTGCACTGGGTCTAATATACACATAGCATCCTACCATGGAGCTGTTTTATACAGTGTAGAAGCTAGCATCCTTGTAAATACACACTAATATACCGTCAACTCTCTCAGACAGCTGCAGGTAACATAGTGTCTACATACTGACACATTGTACCACAGTCATCTGTACAGTGAGGGGTATTAGTGAGGGGTATAGGTAGTGTGGGGTAGTAGTGCGGGGTATAATTAGTGAGGGATATTAGTGAGGGGTATTAGTGAGGGGTAGTAGTGAGGGGTGTTAGTGAGGGGTAGTAGTGAGGGGTATCAGTGAGGGGTATAGGTAGTGAGGGGTATAGGTAGTGAGGGGTATTAGTGAGGGGTAGTAGCAGGGACGTAGCCAGGATTTTTCTTTGAGGGGGGCTGTCGGCGAGCGAAGCGAGCCGACGCGTCCAATCAAGCTGCGCAGCGAGCGAAGCGTGCAAGCTGTGGCAGGGGTCTGGGGGCGCAGCCCCCAGCGGGGTCCAGGGGCGGAGTCCCTTGGCGGGGGCTAGGGGGGCGCAGCCCCCCGGAAATTTTTTGCTAAACAGGGTGTTTTAGACGACATTTGGCATTAAAGAAATTTGTAGGACAGCAATAAACTGGGATTGAAAAGAATCAAGTACTCACGTAAATTTGGTAACTTCACAACAGCAATCTGCAATCTCCAATCAGAATTTACGACTTACTCAGACCTCATCGTCTTAAGATTTTTACATTTCCTACGGTCTAGGGGACACTATTGACTATAATTATAGAAGTCTTCTAGAATGTTTGCTTGGATTTAATGACATATATTTACTAATCCACAGTTCAAATCTTTGACTGACTGCAGTCATAAACACAGCCCAGTTACCAGGCGACCATGGGGACTAGGGGGCTTATCTTTTTTCTG